CGGGTAAATCACGAGAGGGAGAGGGGGCGGGGGTGGGGGGTATATATAAGCGGGAAAGCGGAGTGCCATGTCTCCCGTCCCCACCTCCTCGAAGCTTTACACGTACGCCACGCCACACGACCTCGAAACCAACAAGTAGCCCAGCTTTCATGGAGACATGCAGCGGGTGTATATTGTGTAGATGACGGTGAGTGTTCCATGGTAAACGGCGCTGCCTTGATACCCTTTGGTGGAGAATGACTCCACCGAAAAACAGCCCCTTGGCCATGACATGGCGCGGCCTGCCTCCCGCCGCTCTGGTCAAACGCGAGTATATGCTGCTGCTGCTGCTGCTGCTGCTACTGCTGCTGCTGCTGCTTTTGCCACATTCCGCCGCGCAATAACGTGACTACTCTGTACCCAAAATCGGCGTGTGTGCGGTCCTCCTGCTTGCTTGTTTGTCCATCATTTCGCGGAACAAATGGAATGGTTCTGTTCAGGCACGGATGGCACCGGGAGGCCAGGCTTTCATCGAGTTTGCGGACCAGATGCAGGTGAGACGATAGTGACTGAAAGAGCGAGAAAGATGCAGGAGACGCAAGTATGGCGAGGGGAGAGTCGGGGGGGGGGGGCGCCCAAAGCGGTGTATTTGGGGCCATAAGAGTGTAGAATAACAGCAGCATCGCTACGCTTGCCCCCGAAGGAAGGGTTGCAAGTAGCACCCTGGACAAATTAGCTACTGAGCTTGCGCTTTTGGTCGCGCGGGTTGTGATAGTATCGCGACGATAAGCTTCCGGCAGGGCGCTGAGCTTGTCGCGTCTGAGCGATCGTTATCGTTTGGCTGCGGTGTTTTGTACTTTTCGAGGATGTCGAGTGCACCGTGTACCCTGTCGGTGTCTGGCCGCGTTTCTGTTATATGTAAAAGACAAACACTAATGTTGATGCCGTTGACTTTCCACATGTATGGGCTTTCGCTCATGACAGGATGCCCTTTTTTGTTCTTTTTCTCGTGTGCTTTTGCCCGCTTATTTCGAAAGCTGTGTCAAGCAACATCAAGTAGAAATAGTAAATGTTTCGCTGTTTAGCATGCATTGCTGAACCTCTCCCCCCTCCCCTCCCCGCTCCACCGACCCGGTTTAGCTTTGGTTTGGTGTTCCGACTCTCTCTCACCCAATGGCGTCCGTGCACTCGACTCACTCCCGCTCATGTTTTTTTTTTTTGTGTGTTTCCATTCGCCCTGTTGTCGATCATGATCAGGCCGGCATCGCCCTGAACGCTTTGAACGGCTTCAAGCTCTCGGCAACAAACCCCCTCCAACTAGCCTTCGCGCGCAAGGCGTGAAAGCGGCATGGTGGATGGGAGAGGGAAGTGCAAGAAGAGACGAAGAGAGAAAAGCGGAGATGCCCAGCGGTGGTGGGCAAGGGGCGTCGGCTCCGCCCCCGTCCATCGCTCCATACTTTTCGTTTGTATTCCGTTCACACTCACGCGCGTGTGTCATCAACCACCTGTTACTGTCTGTCCTTATTCTGGGTGTAGCCGTATCGTAGGACGGGGAACGGAAGAGCAACAACGGGAAGGAAGTCAGCCAACGATGAAAACCACGGGTAGAAGGGGAAGACGGCGTGCTTGTGCTGGGTTGTTGACGGGGTCGGTCTCAAGCCTCGCGGTTGCGTAGGAGCAGAATAGTAGTCCAGGGGTGGCCTAAGCCTATTAACGGTGGTTTTACAGCAGCAGCGCGTAGAACGATGGTAGCAAGTAGCGCCCGGCCTTTTGGCTTCTCCTCGCACTCGTGGCTCTGCTGGTTTGGGTGCGGGGGCTGGGGCAGTTTTATTTTGTGCTGTTGGTTGCTGGTTGCTCGCGTGGTCGAGAAGGGAGTGTTCGGGGAGGGCAGTATAGACTTGTTGATGGCCTCGGCCTGAGATGGCCCTTGCTTCTGATGGTCGGTCTGTCTAGTGCTACAAACAATGGTACACAGTATGAAAAAGGCAGAAACCGTTCACGCACGCGAGGGCGGGGGCGGGGTGATTCATGGAACGGTGGGCTGTTCCTGTTATCGTGCTAGGATGTGGTTGATTGCCCACTTCTATCTTACTGTTTGGGACGTACCTAAAAGATACTGCGATGGATTGCGTGCAGCAAGATCACTTCCTGTCTTTGGGAACGCTTGGTGCGCGTATGTAGGTGAGGAAGAGGGAGCGCTCGGGACACCGGACACAGCGGTGTGCGTGGTTTTCGGCGGAAACTATGAATCCACGTCTCCCCTCCATCCTAATCATCGAGAGGGAAGCTTCTGCTTGTCGCCATCTGTTTATGTAGTCCTCCGGACGGAGAAGACGCGGCATTCAGTTCAAGACTTTTTACTCTCTTTTACACCCATGTGTGTCTTTCTTTTCTGAGAGTGCGTTCAACGGTTGGACCACGTGTGACGCCCAATCGGGAAGGAGGGAGTCATTCGAAAAACGATATGAGAGGGATGAGTGGGAGGGTAAGGAAAGTATACCAGTACAAGACCCCCCAGCCAGACGGCTCTTCGTAGTATTTCGACTCCAATCCCTCTCGTCAAACAAAGGCGTCGGTTGCCGCAATTGACTCCCTTGACTGACGAATGGTCACTCACCAAAATGCTCACATAATAACTCGAAAATTTCCCCTTGAGAGACGCATCGGCAAGCCCTCAAGAGAAGGATGACCGACATCTTCACCTTTGGCTTCTCAAAGAGGGTTTGCTCGTTGTGACGCTCCTGCTGCACGCTGTACGATACCATCAGACCGTCCGGGCCGGCCTCTGAAAAGAAGGGCGCCTGCGTAGGACGTGGAACATAGCCACACGTGTCCGTTGGGCGATGGAGATTCCGACAACGAGTCACCATCTCCTTCCCTCTCGAGGAAGTCTCTCCTCGCCTCCGACGAAAAAGTTTCGGGGGGAAAATAGGAAGGGAGAGGGAGAGGGAGGCCAGAAAACCCGCAACGGGGAAACAGAAACACGGAAGAGGAACCACGCCAGAATCACTGTAAAACGGAGCGAAGACGGGAGAGATAAATCTTGCGGGGTACGTGCGACGGATCGTTGGACCGACGCCGGTAGCCAGGAGCACGCCAGAGGAAAAGGGTCCGACGTGTTGACAGTACCTTTCCTAATACGCGTTCGACAGTTTGAAAGGCGCCACCATGTTTTTCCTAGACACGAAACGGGCATAGGGAGACAGGGGGGTTGGTTCAGGGATGTTGGTGCCGGAAGATGGGTGGGAGAAAAAGGTGTCTTCAACAAGAGCCCACACACCCATCCACAATCTGTAACCCGCTCTTCTGCCCCCCCCAGGCCATCATGTATTTCGACATGAATCAATCCCCTTTCCAAATACTATCATATGCTCTTGCGATGCATCCACCTCACCCTCCCTCCGGGGGGCCCGGGGGTTCGCAATCGCCCTATGGGCAGGGTCCGTTCAAAGCAGTCGCGACAACGACAACGACATCAACAATACCGCGACCAACGCCAACACCAACACCAACATCAACATCATCATCATCAACAACAACCGGGAAATAGCAGCAAAAATGTTGCGAAAAGAGAACAAGAGAAACGGAGAGAGACAAACACACACCCCGCGATAAACAACAAGGAAGACTGCCACTCTCCTCGTTCGCGGAAATACCCATTCCCGAGCGTTGTTCCCGGCGAGGCGACCGCACGACATGATGCCAAACAAGCGTTGGGGATAACTTTTAACAAGTGGCGGGCGAAGGGGGAGGAGTGGCGTTCTTTCCCTTTACACACAACGATAACAACAACAACGACGACGACAGCAACAACAAGAGGAACACACACAAAGCGAATCACTCCACGAGCCAGACCAGCTGATGGCCGCCAATGACGGAAAGGCCGTTCGCACAGCGAACGTGCGCTTCGTAAAAAAACAAGGAAGATCGTGCTACGCATGGTGCGTACCACCACAACCACCCCCCCCCCCCCCCCCCCCCCCCCCCCCCCCCCC